CTCTTGAGGAGTAGTTAGTGGATTCCAACTGGTGACCTCTGGTTAGCAGCCCTTTGGACCCTTTTGATCAAGATCACAGCCTAGAAAACTGTATGGGCAGTTCTATCTATAGTCCTACAGGCTTGTTTTGAGGTAGAATCAATTGTACACAAAAATATAAAGATGTGACCTTGAAAACAAGTGCCAGTCTAGTGTTGTAGAAGGTGAAACTTCACTTTCACTCACTACAATCAGCTTTATGCTCCCAGAAAAGAATGACATTCTAATTAATCACGAAGGAGAAATGATCTAGAAGTTAGATCAAGGAACAATGGCTGCCACCATCCTCTGGCAGTCCTCAAGATCCTTGGTTGCCAACCGTCCACCTTAATCTTCAAACTGTCACTGCTCTTAAGTATTTTGGAGAAGGTCCTGACAGTGACTTGTCCAATGCAATGTGTCTCAATATTTTGACTGCTAATATCAAGGGTGTTGACTGTTGATCCAAGCAAGATAAAATCATTGACATCTTCAATCCTTTCTCCACCTATAATGATGTTGTCTACTGGCTTGAAGCAGTGACTGGACAAGGGACTCAAGTGTGCCCAAGATGGTGAGGATGGCACAGGGGAGGACAGGGTTCAGGTCTACTGTTCATAGAGTTACTGAGCCACACTCTACTTGCTGTTGTTGTTGTTATGTATGTGCCGTTGAGTCACTTGTGACTCACAGCAACCCTATGTACAACAGCCCTAAACTCTGCTCTGTCCTGTACCAATCGCACTGTCCCTGATACACCCATCCTGATTACCCCAGTCACTTAATCAATTCCCCTCCTATGCTGTCCCTCCACCCTCCCAAGCATGATGTCCCTCTCCAAGGACCGGTCCCTCCTTACAACATGTCCAATATATGTCAGATGAAGCCTCAGAATCCTTGCCTCCAAGGAGCAGTACCCTCTCTAGGATGAACTTGCTTGTTCTCCTAGCAATCCACGATATATTCAATACTATTCTCCAACACCAGAGCTCAAAGGCATCAATTTTCTTTCTATCATCCCTAGTCATTGTCCAGCTTTCTGACGCATAGCAAGTAATTGCAAAGATCATGGCCTGGATCAGGTGCACCTCAGTCAACTTGATGGCACCTAAAACCAACAACAGCTCATTTAGCTCAGCGGCAGCCTTGAGGTACGGTTCTTCCCCTCCACCACTGGGGACCTGCACTAAGCAACCATGTCCAAGGGTCCTGTGGTTAGCATTGTTCTTGGCACCACCTACTCCTGTGTAGGGGTCTTCCAGCATGGGAAAGTGGAAATCATTGCAAATGATCAAGGCAACTGGACCACCCCAAGCTATGTCACATTTACCGATACCGAATGATTGATTGGCGATGCAGCAAAAAATCAAGTTGCAATGAATCCTACTAACACAGTATTTAATGCCAAACGTCTCACTGGACAAACATTTGATGATGCTGTTGTACAGTCTGATACGAAACACTGGCCCTTCATGGTGATGGTGAATGATGCAGGCAGGCCCAAGGTCCAGGTAGAATATAAAGGAGAGACCAAAAGTTTCTATCCAGAGGAGGTGTCCTCTATGGTTCTCACAAAGATGAAGGAAATTGCAGAAGCCTACCTTGGGAAGACTGTTACCAATGCTGTTGTCACTGTACCAGCCTACTTCAATGACTCTCAGCGCCAGGCTACTAAAGATGCTGGAACAATTGCTGGCCTCAATGTCCTCCAAATCATCAATGAGCCAACTGCTGCTGCTATTGCTTATGGTCTAGACAAAAAGGTAAGTGCTGAAAGGAACATGCTCATCTTTGACTTAGTAGGTGGCACTTTTGATGTGTCAATCCTCACTATTGAACATGGGATATTTGAGGTCAAGTCTACAGCTGGAGACACTCACTTGGGTGGAAAAGACTTTGACTACAGAATGGTCAACCATTTCATTGCAGAGTTCAAGCACAAGCATAAGAAAGACATCAGTGAAAACAAGAGGGCTGTCAGATGCCTCCACACTGCTTGTGAACGTGCAAAGCGCACACTTTCTTCCAGCACCCAGGCCAGTATTGAGATAGATTCTCTGTATGAGGGAATCGACTTCTTTACTTCTTTGAAGAATTGAATGCTGATCTTTTCTGTGGCACTCTGGACCCTGTGGAGAAAGCCCTGAGGGAGGTCAAGCTAGACAAGTCATAGATCCATGATATTGTCCTGGTGAGTGGTTCTACCAGAATTCCCAAGATTCAGAAGCTTCTTCAGGATTTCTTTAATGGAAAGGAGTTGAGCAAGAGCATCAACCTAGATGAGGCTGTTGCTTATGGTGCAGCTGTCCAGGCGGCCATTCTCTCTGGACACAAATCTGAAAATGTTCAAGATTTGCTGCTCCTGGATGTCACTCCACTTTCTCTTGGTATTGAAACTGCTGGTGGAGTCATGACTGTCCTCATCAAGCGGAATACAACCATTCCTAACAAGAAGACACAAACCTTCACAACCTACTCTGACAACCAGCCTGGTGTACTCATTCAGGTCTATGAAGGTGAGCGTGCCATGACCAAAGATAACAACCTGCTTGGCAAGTTTGAGCTCACTGGGATACCACCTGCATCTCATGGTGTTCCTCAGATTGAAGTCACATTTGATATTGATGCCAATGATATTCTTAATGTTTCTGCTGTTGACAAGAGCACTGGGAAAGAAAACAAGATTACCATCACCAATGATAAGGGCCACTTGAGTAAGGAAGACATTGAACGAATGGTCCAGGAGGCTGAGAATTACAAAGCTGAAGATGAGAAGCAAAGAGAGAAGGTGTCTTCTAAGAATTCCCTTGAGTCTTACACATTTAATATGAAAGCAACAGTTGAAGAGGAAAAGCTTCAAGGCAAGATCAATGAAGAGGACAAGCAGAAGATCCTTGACAAGTGCAATGAAATGATCAACTGGCTTGAGAAGAATCAGACTGCAGAAAAGGAGGAATTTGAGCATCAGCAGAAGGAACCAGAGAAGGTCTGCAACCCCATCATCACCAAGCTGTGCCAGAGTGCTGGAGGCATGACCGGAGGCGTGCCTGGTGGCTTCCCTGGTGGTGGAGCTCCTCCATCTGGTGGTGCCTCTTCTGGACCCACCACTGAAGAGGTTGACTAAACCAATCGGCATACTTTAGCATTCATTGTCCCACAGTTAAATTTTGAAGGACCCAAATTTGTAGCACACTGCAGTTGAAAAGTCTAAACTGCCAGATTAAATTTCTGGGCATTCTCAATACTTGAATATGGAATGTGCGTAGGGAAAGGAATTAAAATTACGCTTTATTATCACTGTATTGGAAGTGGAAAATGCAATGTTTCAAATAAAGATGCATTTAAAATTGGCACCATAAAAAAAAAACCACCAAAAAACCCCCACAAACAACCAACAATGACAACAATCCTCCACCATTGTTTCTGAGGGTGGTAACTTGTGGGTTATGGTCTGTGATGCCATTTACTCTCTATCTTCACTCACTACATGGATTATGGAAGTGTCCATCCCTAGTCTTTGCAAGCTGAAAAGCAGATCTAGAAGAGACCACAAAAGAATCCTAAAAAACCCACAAAAGTCACCATTCAGCAAAGAGTTTCTGAACCCTTACCATGTAGTTCTAGGCAGGGACACTAATGAAATAGAAACCTTGCTCTCCTAGAAATTACTCTCTAACCACATCTTCTTCCTCAGGGCCCTTATACTTGCTCTTATCTTCACCTGGAATATTCCCTAAAATCAGCAGCACAGTTTCTTATTCTCTGATCTCTTTTAGATTTTTACCTCATTATTACGTTCCCCAAGGAGGCGTCTCTAAACACCAGTCAAGCTGGAAACACCAATCTTCTTTCCTCTATACCACTTATTATTAGCTAATACATTGTATATTTCCCCTTCTTATAATTTCACTTCTATGGAAATCTAAGCTCTGGAAAGGCAGGCACGTTCTGTTTTCTTCAGGATTCCATCTCTAGTACTTGCAACAGTAAGAGGCACATGTGAAATAAATCTTGCACATTTACTCACATTATTAAACAAGTCTTCTGACACAGAGAGAAATATATGAAGGCGTCTAGCATAGACTTGCTTTCATTACAAATCATATAAATTTCATGCACTGCCAAGAATACATTTCTTAGCTTGTACATATAATTTTTAAAGCCATAACAGCTTTATTTTGTGGGTGTTTGTCTTTCCTCCTTGTTTACTTTAGTTCTTTTTTCTTAATATAAATAACTTTTTGTTCTTATACTTGAGTCATTTAATATATTCCCACAGAATGTAAAAACCATTTATTTTCAGCTAAATATGTGCCAATTTGTGGTATAAAACAGTTCTGATTCTTATTCTTTCCATATGCATTTGGTTTTTTTTACAAAGGACATACATGTAAATAAAGTCAAAGCCATCTAACCAAATTACAACTCCATATCTAACAAAACTTTTACTATCCTTCCTCCAATACAGTTTGTCTTTCTTCTAAGTACTTATTTTATCAATACAAAGACTTAGCCTGTAGTCATTTTCAGAAGAATATGAAAACACAATGCAAGTAATACAGATACAACTCAGTGCTATGTTTTCGGTTTCTCATTCTCGAGAAACACTGGCTAATAAGGAAAGGTGAGTGAGTAACATCTAAAAAAACTAATTTAAGGTCTGGTTCTTCCAGCTACTAATTATGTCACCTCAGAGGTCAGCATTAGCTGACCTACCCGTGCAGCAAAAATGATATTCTCTGACTTGTTCACTACATAGAATTTTTGAGATAACCAAATACATTAATATAGAGATACGCTGTAAACTATAGTGCAACAGTTAAAGGAAAAGTATAATGACTCTGCCTCAGGGTGAAACTCACTTAATTATTCCTTGAGCAGAGTAGAGGTTATGGAACCTTTTTCATTTTCTCACTTTCTTATACCAAGTACACTATAAAAAAACCCACCAGACTTTTAAATAGATATGTTTTAAAATATACCTTTGACTGTATTGTCCTCAGAGTAACTAGATGAATGTCACAAGGCAGAGATGACAGTAACGGAGAGAATTCACCCAGCAGCTGAGGGGCCGGTGAGGAGATCTTTTCTGTCATTGGAAACAGTGGATGATTCAGGAAAGAAGAAGTCAGGTGGCTAAGAAGAGATGGATAACTGACTGACTTCTTTTCTTCTTCCTATTAAGAAAAAAAAAAGCCACAGAAATGCTTAAGAGACATCTTATATTTACAGTTCTTGTTACATTAATGAAGTCTTGTGACAGAACTTAAATAGAAAATTACACAGATACTTTGAATTTATTCTTTATAAATGATAATTTTAGAAAATACCAAGTTCAGTTCCAAGTAGCACAGGCACATAGTGTACATTTAACTCAAGGATAAAAACAACTTTTTTTAATTGATTTGATGGATAAAAAAAATACTGACAGTTTACACAAACCTTTTAGGAATAAAGCATACTTTTTACACAAGTTCTTCCTCAATATACCACAAAACAAGAGATGGTTTGGGATGCTCATTTATGCTGCACATCACCAACTTTTCTCTTTTCTCTGAGGTTTTTACCTACTATATGCTCATTTTAAAAGTTTATGTGTAAAAATCACTATGCTAATTTTTAAATATAGATAGCCTTGCTGGCATGACTAGATTAAGTGATGGTTTTATTTTGAAATTTTAAAAATTTCTGCCAATTGTTTCATTTCACTGTATTCCTCCTAAGAAAAGCATTGTATGTTAGAGAATAGTTTTCCTATAACCATATGCTATAACCATTCACTATAATTTGAAAATGCTTTATCTTCTTATGTTATGTACCCTTACTTGTACATAGAAATTTCAAAGAGATAACATATTAAATAAGTCCACGAGGATTGAAATCTATATATCAAGATGGCATACAAATATAATTAAATAAATGACTAAGTAGAACTTTTACCCAATAATGCCCAAGGAGGAAAAATAAGACACAGTGAAGCACAGAGAAGAGAAAAGAATTCATGTAGAAGGGTCCTTTGATCATTAGCCATGTTGGAAGCAAATTTAATGTTGTATCTTACTTTTCAAAATTATTATTTCACTGGTAACTTATGATTTTGTACCCTTTTTGTAATACAAGGCTAAATAAAAGGCCTACTGACTTATCTGTGTGAAAGACAGGATTTATAGAACACACAGTGCTCAAAATTCAGAATGTCAGATTGAGATTGGAGAGAAAGGTACCAGCAAAGAGTGAACAGCATCTTGCCAGCAGCTAACTGTAGATGTCATTACAATTCAGACCATGGATAGAGGGAAAAAAATGTATAAGGCAGCAGAGGGACACTACAATATTAAGATACTGACAAAAAATATTAGTTTGAAAGAACTGTACAAAAATATCCATTCTCCAATTTCTTTAAAGGAAAGATTAAATAAAGCATATAAAATAATATGCTCCAACAATACTGAAATTTAATGCACCTTGCAGAATAACATGAATAGAGCAGCATCATTTTCAACAAGATACTTTAAATGTACTCCAAGATCAAAGGACTTCATAATGTAGGTCAGGATTGCTGACAAAATCACTTTTGAGTAATAAAAGATAAAAGAGTCCAACAGAAAGGAAAACACCTGACTTATCAGATTTGAGAGGCATCAAGTCTATTCTAGGTCAGAAACATTCAGAACAGCTCTCTAGCTTTGTTCTATGCTCTTTGAGGAATTCCTGGGCACTTTAATGAGAGTGAATTGAGAGGTTCTCTGATTGATCATGCGTACCTGACTGATCTGGTGTGACTGATCACAGCACCCTGACTGATCAGTTATCCTGACCCTTGTTGTTCCCCATACTCACCACACATTGGAATGACTTGCTGTTAGGTTCCTCGGAGTCACTACCAACTGACAGTGACCCTATTTACAAGAGAATCAAACCTTACCCAGTCATGTGCCATTCTTAGCCTCTCCTGTATTGCAGTTTCTGTATCTATCTCTTTTGAAGGCCTCTCTTTATTCTCATACCCTTTATTTTACCAAGAATGATATTATACTCCAGAGACTGATAAAAACATGCCAAAGTATATGAGATTTACCTGAAATGAGATTTAACCCAAATCTACTGAGTCATAATCTTTTGGGAGAGAGGCCCTGGGAATGCGAAGCTTAAATAACTCCTCAGGCCTCTACTCTATTCAACCTTTCTAGAAGGAACAGAATCCCCACTGGAATGAAAAATATAAGCACTGTTCAGTGCAGTACTATTCACAATCGATAGCAAGTGGAAATGCTGTCCATCAACCAATAAATATAGATTCATAAACAAAATGCAGAACATACAAAAGAATACAAATCAGCCAAAAAAGAAATAAAGTCTTGATAATCCTGAGTAAAAGAGGTAAGACACAAAACGACAAATAGTGTATGATTCCACTGAACAGAAAATACTGAGAACAGGCTGATACACAGAGACATAAGTTTATTAAAGGTTACTAGGGATTGGTAGAAGTGAGGAAGAGGAAGTTACTGCTTATAAAGGCACTGAGTGTCTCCTAAGTGTAAGGGGAAAATCTGGAGGTGGGACAGTAGTGATGGCTGCATAACATGGTGAATTATAGTTAATGCTACTAAGTGATACATACCCTCAGTAACATTATGAAATGATGACATGGCAAATGCTTTGCTACATATATTTAACCACAGTTAAAAAAAAAGAACAACCTCAAACAAAACAGCAATAAGTAAGATTCACCTGCTAGCTCATTCTAGATTAAAGGGAAGATTCATAATCAACTATTTTTATGAAAAATCATGGAAGATGAAAAAATGATGTGAAGAATGTATTTGAGAATTAAAAAATTGTGCAGTTAATTGTTCTTAGTAAGGTAAGGAAGAAACGCTTCTAGAACAGCTGTAGATGACACCAAAAGATTGCTATACACAAAGAATATTTCCGAAGTTAAGGCTTGCCAGACTGGACAGTGCAAAGGCTCACCCAAGACCCCACCATTCTTCTTCATCATAATTTACAGGCTCATCAAGATACTCAACTGTCGAACTATCAATCTTCTGATTAACCATCTAGAAATAGAATCTCTCCACTAAAAGCTGTGTAATCAACCCAACATTTATGAGACATGTGTGCTATAAGAAAACTCTTTACTTGAGTACAAATGAATTCCCCAATCTTTCTGTATCTAATACAGTTTACGTTTGGTTTCTCTTTTGAGTTAGAAGTCAGACTGTGCCATCCTGGTTTTCTGCCTGCAGCCTATGTGAAATTTAAATAGAGCTTCCAGCACATTCTGACCAAAGGATAGAAATAGAGCGAGATTTTAACTCTATAAGTCAGAACTTCTAGCCATGCTCCCTGTTGCTAGTCATTATGCATCAAGTCCTTGAACATAAGAGGTTTCCATTTCATTGAAATCACACTTGCTATATTACATAGGTTAGTTAGTAAGTGATTATTTTTTTAAGCCACCAGTGTTTATTCAGTGTGACCTGACAAATGGCAGAACTGTGATAAATGGTGGCCTAATGACAAGAAACTGCACTGTAATCCCGAAGGCACCAGTTCAAGGCCACCAGCTGCTCCACAGGAGAAGGACGGGCAATCTCCTCCCATGTAATACACTGCCTCTTAAAATCCACTGGAAGGTCAGCTATGGGTCAGTTCCAACCACAGGACACACAATAACAACAACAACAAACCTATATCAAATTAACAAACACAATATAGATAAGAGAGAAGTATTATTACAGAAATGAGAAACACACAAAAAAAAAAGAGAGAAAGAAACAGCCAAAAATATATAGAGAGAAATGAATCATAACATTCAGTGTTAAATACTCTTTGGGCAAGAGTAGGAAACTGGTGACCAAATGTGCTGATATGTTTTGGCAGGGCTCCATCGTATTACAAATTTACCTGCTTGTTTCTAAACTAACCTTCAAAGAAAGAAAACCAAGATATTCCACACAAAAATAAAACAACAATCATAAAAACAGATTTCAAGATAAAAAAAAAAAACAAAACCACACAACAACAACAACAACAAAACAAACAAAAAAACACACAACAGGAAAAAAGTACAAAACTAGAAAATTGTGTCTCTCAGGCTGCACTCCTCCCACTTGGAACAGGCCAGCTGGAACTGTGTTGGGGCTGTGCCTGCCTCCTCCCAGGAGGGATGGGTCTTGTGTTGACCACAGACCTTTGGGCTATCGCCTTTAAGAATCTGCCCCTACTCCTAGCCAACCTTCTTCATGACATTATTCCTTGACAATTTAAAGTAATTGAGTTTTTAATCAGAGCTCGACCAAGTTACTCTTCAAATATGAAAAGAACTGGGATTCAGAAGTAAAATTCTATAAGTTGAACTAGATGCTGCAACATTTAATTCCTAGTTCAGTATCCTTTTTTACAAGGTGACCAGCAGGTATGGGTAAGAGATGAATAAACAAAACTTAAGAAGTCAAGGTCAAGAGACAACTTCTCCTTCCTACTTGTCTCCTTCTATCTTTGTCACATATAATGGTTATGCGCCATCCCTTCCCTGCAACTCATAGAGACCCTTTGTATATCAGCTCTGAACTCTGTCCTATCCTGAGCCAATCTCATCTCTGACAGACCTAATCCCATTCCTCCAGTCACTAAGTGAGTTCATCTCATCCAAGGTCTGCCTCTCCTGCTCTGTCCCTCCATCCTTCCAAGCAAGATGTCTCTCTCCAAAGAATGGTCCCTTACGCCCACAGGCCGAAAGGGTATGAGAGGGTGCCTCAAAAT